TTTTCTTGTACTGAAATGTAGCAGACCCATCAGTCCAAACCAAATCTCTCCAAAAGGAGACAAAAATAAACAATCTTGAATCTTGATCTTGAATCTTGAAGCCAGATATTTAAGAAATATATTTGGTTTTATTGTGGATTTGTTTTCCATTAAATGTAGTAGACGTCACAAGCTAAAACCTCATGTGGAAAGACTGAGCAGCAGCAGTACCCCCATCCTGTCCTTTCACCTGTCCTGTCCTGTGCTGTCCTGTCCTTTCCTGTCCTTTCCCCCGTCCTCTCCCCTTCCCCTTCCCCTTCCCTGAGCAGAGTAGCAGCACTAGCAGCAGCAGCAGCAGCAGCAGCAGCTGCAGCAGCAGCAGCAGCCGAGAGTGATGATACCTCTAAAGCAGGAGGCCGACGCGCCGCAGACAGAGGCCATTACTCTCATACATCTGCTGTCAGCCTCAGGAGGAACACGTACGAGGAGGAACACGTACAGTAGATGCCATAGGATCTGAGAGCAGCCGCTGAACATAACACAGCCATAAACCTCCCCCATCATGTCCTCTCCCCCATCATGTCCTCTCCCCCGTCCTGTCCTTTCCCCTGTTCTGAGCAGCTCTCTCCCCTTTTGTGTCATTTCCATTTCTCTTTCCTGTCCTCTCCTTCTGTCCTGTCCTCTACCCTGTCCTGTTCCCTCCCCTCCCCCATCATGTCCTCCGTCCTGCCTTCTCTCTGTCCTGTTCTCTCCTCTCCCCCATCCTGTCCAGTCCCCTGTCCTCTCTTCTCGCACTTCCTGCCCTCCCCTTTTGTGTCCGTTTCCCTAAAGACATTATTTAAAGCACAGGTCTTCAACCTTGCCCCTTCTCGGAGCCACTGTTTCAGATTGAAGATGACACAGAGAGAGACTCCAGTCCAGAGGTCGAAAAGAAAATGAGGAAAAATAGAGTAACAGCAAAAACTTTGCTTTGGTGGCAAATAATACATGCTTAAAGCAGGTCTAAAGCAGGACTAAAGCAGGTCTAAAGCAGGTCTAAAGTAGTTCTAAAGCAGGTCTAAAGTAGTTCTAAAGCAGGTCTAAAGCAGGATTGAAGCAGGTCAAAAGCAGGTCTAAAGTAGGTCTAAAGCAGGTCTAAAGCAGGACTAAAGCAGGACTAAAGCAGGTCTAAAGCAGGTCTAAAGCAGAACTGAAGCAGGTCAAAAGCAGGTCTAAAGTAGATCTAAAGCAGGTCTAAAGCAGAACTAAAGCAGGTCTAAAGTAGGTCTAAAGCAGGTCTAAAGTAGTTCTAATGCAGGACTAAAGCAGGTCTAAAGCAGGTCTAAAGCAGGTCTAAAGAAGTTCTAAAGCAGGACTAAAGCAGGTTTAAAGCAGGTCTAAAGCAGAACTAAAGCAGGTCTAAAGTAGGTCTAAAGCAGGTCTAAAGTAGTTCTAAAGCAGGTCTAAAGCAGGTCTAAAGAAGTTCTAAAGCAGGACTAAAGCAGGTTTAAAGCAGGTCTAAAGCAGGACTGAAGCAGGTCTAAAGCAGGACTAAAGCAGGTCTAAAGCAGGACTAAAGCAGGTCTAAAGCAGGTCTAAAGTAGTTCTAAAGCAGGACTAAAGCAGGTTTAAAGCAGGACTAAACAGGTCATCAGGGTCTGAAACATGACTAGGAGAGAACCAGGTCGAGCTGGGTCCCTTAGGGTTGGGTCAATGTTTTTGTTTTTAAAAATTCTAAGCAGGTCGGTCGTACTCAGTGCTCAGATGGGCGATGGGCATGTATCTTATAAAAAAAATCCTCATTTTAAGAATACAGATACATTTTCATAGTCAAGTCATAGTGCTAATGCTAATGCTAATTCTACATCTATAGCCAGCACATTTTGTATATGTAATTCTTTCTTTCACGGTTTGATATTCTGGTATAGTCCAGGTTTGAACTTATACATATTCATAAACCTAACCGTCAAATGCCACTTCAGAAGAATCCTATTAAAATCCCTCTCCTTATACTCCTCCTGCCCTCACCTCTCCTGCTCCACATTCCACATCTCAAAACAAATGGAACTGCACTTATCGCTGAAAGAGAATATACACCTATTAACACCGTGCAATGAGCTTGTGGGTCTAATTTGAATGATTTGCATAATGAAATCCCTCCCAAAATATCCAGTAATGTGAGCGGTGCATGAGGAGCCAGGGCTGACGACAGATATGACTGTATTGTTGAGACAGAGGACCTGTGTGCAGAAATCCTAATGACTTCTGTGGCTTTGTGTGCGAAGCTGGGACTATTTTTAGACCAACTCAGCCTCAGCTCCACAAGGTTTATCTACTACGCTCGCGATCGCGCTCTAAAGCCCCGCTCTTGGATCAGTTTATAGTGTTTTGAACGAGGAGGTAAGTTTAAAAGTTCAACAGAAGAGAACATGTTTGTGTTTGGACTGTGAGCACGATGCAGCTGTAACATGCTCTGGAATGTCCATGCTTGTAACGTTATGACTGTTGGGAGGAAGAGGGGGGTAGAGGAGAGAGGGGAGAGGAGAGGAGAGGAGAGAGGTGAGAGGAGAAAGGGGAGGGAAGAGAGGGAAGAGGAGAGGTCAGAGGGGAGAAGGGAGAGGAGAGACGTGAGGATAGAGGGGAGAGGGCAAAGGGTAGAGGAGAGAGGGGAGAGGAGACGAGAAGAGAAAGGAGAGATGAGAGGAGAGAGGTGAGAGAGAGGGGGGAGTAATGAGGGATGGGGATACAGGAGTTAAGAGAGAGCAGAGGCAAGGGGAGAGAAGAGAGGAGAGAAATGAGGGATAGAGGACAGAAGAGAGAGGGGAGGAGAGGGGGAAGGAGAGAGGGATAGAGGAAAGGAGAGAGGAGAGGGGAGAGGAGAGGAGAGAGGTGAGAAGGGAGGAGAGAGGAGAGAGGAGAGAGAGGGGAGAGGAATGAGGGATGGGGATAAAGGAGTTAAGAGAGAGCAGAGGCAAGGGGAGAGGAGAGAGGATAGAGGAGAGAAGAGAGAGGGGAGGAATGAGGGATAGAGGGGAGGAGAGGGGGAAGGAGAGAGGGATAGAGGAAAGGAGAGTCGGGGTGAACTTAATACACTCACAACTGCTGAAGAACGATCGAGATGATACCAACTATTGAGGGGGAAGGGGATGGGAGATAAAGGAGAAGAGAGAGGGGAGAGGAGAGAGATGAGGCGAATATGGAGAAAGGGGAGAGAGGAGAGGAGAGATAAGGGGATAAAGAGAGAAGAGGAAAGAGGGGAAAGAGGAGGGGAGAGAGATGAGGGGATAAAAAATAGAGAGGAGAGGAGAGAGGAGAGAGAGGAGGGGATAAAGGAGAGAGAGGAGAGAGGCAAACATAGAGAACAGTAAACTCAGGCTAAATTACACATTTGCATTTTTTTAGTTAAAGCAAGTTGCGTTTCTTTAATAAATAACCTTTATTCAAGCTCCGCACAATCCTACACAAATACAATATAATAGATATTTTTCACTCAATGCTAAAAGAGCTTTTCTCTGCAATCGCACAAATCCATAATTTTTCTCTCTCTATAGCATTGATTCAAATCCTGCCAAACAGATTTGAAGCCCACTGAGCAGTGCTTAATCCGCAGAGCTGCAGATTTGCTGATAACAGTGATGGCCCCGGACCTGGCCCCTGTTTGTTCTGACATATTGCCTTTTTAGTGCCAGCTCCGTGGGGAAAGAACAAATCTCTGGCCAAAGCGAAGCAATTGGTCGAAGGAGGTGTGTTTCACTTTGGAAGAGAAGATGGAGACCCGTATCTGAGAAGGGATCATGAGGGAGAAAGGGTTTGTTTGATAAAAGGGCGTTCAATAATACACCAATAATGATGAGGGAGAAAACACTTGTTGATGAAAGGGCGTTCAATAATGATTTTTGCTCAAAAAGAAGCAGATTAGGTTTGGATTTATCAGCGTTTGACACTAACATGTTACCTTCATTCTGGACATGCATTTACTGTAATAATAATTTAGTGAGAAACGTTAGGACATGCCAAAAACATTACTTATGGAACCTCTGAGACCAGAGAGAGACCAGAGAGAGACCAGAGAGAGACCAGAGAGAGACAAGAGAGAGCCCAGAGAGAGCCCAGAGAGAGCCCAGAGAGAGCCCAGAGAGAGACCAGAGAGAGACCAGAGAGAGACCAGAGAGAAACCAGAGAGAGACCAGGGAGAGACCAGAGAAAGACCCAGAGAGAGACCAAAGAGAGACCAGAGACTAGACAGAGCACAGAGAGAGGCCAGAGAGAGGCCAGAGAGAGACCAGAGTGAGACCAGAGAGACCAGAGAGAGACCAGAGAGAGACCAGAGAGAGACTAGAGAGAGACCCGAAAGAGACCAGAGACCAGACAGAGCCCAGACAGAGCCCAGATAGAGCCCAGAGAGAGACCAGAGAGAGACCAGACAGAGCCCAGACAGAGCCCAGACAGAGCCCAGAGAGAGCCCAGAGAGAGCCCAGAGAGAGCCCAGAGAGAGCCCAGAGAGAGACCAGAGAGAGACCAGAGAGAGACCAGGGAGAGACTAGAGAGAGACCCGAAAGAGACCAGAGACCAGACAGAGCCCAGATAGAGCCCAGAGAGAGACCAGAGAGAGACCAGACAGAGCCCAGAGACAGCTCAGAGAGAGACCAGAGAGAAACGAGAGACCAGACAGAGCCCAGGTAGAGAGTCCTCTGCCCTAATCACTGCAGTGCACACAAGTTTTCATCTGACTAAACAAAGGTATCCCTCCCGCTAAACTAGCTGTTAGGATGTTGTTGAAGTACACACACGGCGCATGAGAAGCACACTGTAAAATTGTGTGTGTGCAAAATTACGCACACACAATCTGCCCAAGGCACACAGAGCAGTTACAGACAGAATACTGAGGAGGACATGACTGCTGAGCTGAGGCTGAAAACAGATATTAATTCTGGACATGAACAGATCAGGGGAGAGAATCGGTCTCAGCGCTGGGGCCATGTGCATATTTAGAATAAACTATTGTGTTGTGAGGGAGTAAAGAGAAAACACAGACTACTCACTGGTCTCAAGTCGTACGCCAGGAGGACGAACCCCAAATCCGGAGACACCCAGAACTTTGAGGCTTTGAACGTGGCCTAAAACCAAAAGAGAAACTTCAGAACCATGGACAGCTCACTTCTTTGTCATGACTTTGAGGATTAATCAAAACCAAGACATGATTTATCTATTAGAGCAGGAGTCTCAAAACCTGTAGCTCGGGAGCCACCAGTAGCTCTCCACCCCCCTCCAGGTAGCTCGCCAAACAATTTAGAAATGAAAAATCAAGTAATATACTTCATTTTTCAGATTGTTTTATTCATTTTCATTATTTATGATTGTATATGCACTTTGTCACTAGAAACTAATATGCAATGATAAATGATGTCTGTACCCAGTATCAGGCTTCTTCACACCAAGATATCATAATTTTTTTAGTAGCTCTCTGGGCGAAAAAGGTTGGAGACACCTGTATTAGAGTCTTTAGACCGGGGGCATCAATCCCATTTTTATCAAGAGCAAAATGGCTCTTATTTGACATGAGTTTTGATATACATGTAATAGTCTGGTAGATTTTTCCTGAACAAAATGTGTTTGTTGAAACAAAACTGGATCAAATATACAGAAGATAATTAAACGGTGACTGATGGGTCTTCAATGGGCCTTACCTATTTGTTTGTTTGGGCAGCTTTTCTCAAGTCACCATAGCCGTGTGTGTACTGTGTTTATAATTGTTCTGTATTTTTGTTTTTTGGAATTGACTTGTAAGTCCAATTGAGTTGGAATGTTATAAAAAGATTTAATAATTTGGTTGCTTTCCTCCCCCGGACGAGCTGGAGGAAGTGTGTGTGGATAGGGAAGTCTGGGTGTCCCTGCTTAGACTGCTGCCCCCACGACCCGGCAACGGATGAAGCGGAAGGAAATGGATGGATGGATGGATGGATGGTTGCTTTCCTGAGAATTTAAGGTTTTTCTTTTGGTTTCACATGCCATAGTTGCCCATTACCGCAAACAAAGCAATTTAATCATAATAAAACATTTAGGGGCCATAGAGTCCGCAGTAGACTGGGACTGGATCTACATTGTAATCCTTCTATCCATTTCCTATGCCACAGTCTTGATCTTTCAGCAGGGACTTCAGGCAAAGTGGGGTTAAGTGTCTTGCCCAAGTACACAACAACAGCAGACATCAGTGGGAGTGGATGGAGACGGTCTCATGGTGGGATCGAACCCACAACCTTCAGGCTCAAAGGCCAATTCTCTGCACACTGATGTTCCTATGTGCATGAACGTGGTGAAGACAGAGATGGGTTTATGTGACGGGAAACTGTTGTGGATGTTGAGAAAATTGTAAGATCTGATGGAAGTGAAGAATTATTGTTGATTTATTTAGTTTCTGTGTGAGATTCTTACGAAGGTGGTGTTTTTGAGCAGCAGGAGCGTCTCGTTGTTGTGGACGTTTGCTTTCCACACATTTCCATCCCAAGACCTGAAGATGATCTCCTCGTCTGAAACCAAAAAGTTGGAGAGAAGTCTTGAGTCATTTTGAATAAGAGAGAGACCAGAGAGAGACCAGAGGGAGACCAGAGAGAGACCAAAGAGAGACCAAAGAGAGACCAGAGGGAGACTAGAGGTAGACCAGAGAGAGACCAGAGGGAGACCACAGGGGGACCAGAGAGAGAGACCAGAGAGAGACCCAAGGAAGACCAGAGAGAGTCCAGTGAGAGACCAGAGGGAGAGACCAGAGAGAGACTAGAGAGAGACAAGAGAGAAACCAGAGAGAGGCCAGAAGTAGAGACCCAAAATAGACCAGAGGGACTGACCAGAGAGACACCAGACGGAGACCGGAGAGTCACCAGGCAGAGACCAGCGAGAGGGACCAGAGAGAGACCAGAGAAAGACCAGAAATAGACCAAAGAGACAAGAGAGAGAGACCTGTGGGAGACCAGAGAGAGACCACAGTCCTTTTTCTCTGCTCTGAAAGAGGACTGTGATCTTTCTGTTCCGGAGCTTCTTTATGAATCCAGACTCTTAGACCGAGCTCTTGGAATAAGCAATGACTCTTTCGGCTCCAGGAAAAGCCATGTTCCAGCTTCTTTCTTATGGCAGAAGATTATGTCCCTTGAGCTGCAGGACATCTGGATATGCTAACATGCTATAAGCTGTTTTCAGTCTGAACAAAGTACTGTAACTGGTCTTTGATTTCACAGAGACAATTGTTTCTTGAACTTTGTATTATGTTTTATTCATGTACTTTTCTGCGGCACATTGGGGACTTAAGCTCGTATATTCCCAAGTGGTTTTACTGCACACAAAAAAGAATCTGAAAAACAAAGCAATTTGAACATGTAGAAACTTCACTGGTCACGTGGCTCAAAACAGCATGAAATAAGAATCAAACTGGAACAAAGACTATCTCTACGAACAGACAGCTTTAAAAATGTCTTTGCAAAATCCAGCATCTTTTGAAATGTTGAAATCTACTTGTTTCAATGAGAAGCCTTTTATATAAAGCCTTTAAACCTCCCCTGTATCCACAGAACTACATAAAGGACAGATGGAGAGCCCGAAAGAGGGAAGCGACCACACCAAAGATTCATTTAAGAAATATTTGGCAGAGGGAGAGCGTCTGCGCTTCGAATACTGACGGATGAAAGACTGACAGCTCCGGGGAAAATCTCACATAAGTCCAATGGGGCAGAACTTTCTATTTTATGACAAGACTAAATCTATTCAGACTCCCAAGTTTCATGTCAACGTCGTTAGAACCGCACGCACGTATCAATCAGAGCTCAAGTAACTCCATTCTCGCCCGGAATGAAATACAAACGCAGGAACTCTGTGGGGAAATGTACGTAAAAGACGCACAGATTGGTTTTGACAAAGCAGACATTCTCCAGAGACGACGTGTCATTCTGAGGGTATGGTTAGAGAGACGGCCATGCGAAAAAATGATCAAATATGAGGAAATAAAAGCTTGAATTGAGTGGTTTTTATCTTAATCTGACACATTCCGACTGTGAATATTCTCCAATGGGACAAAGACATTTAGTCTGATTTCAACTGTTTAATCTGTTTTTCCTCATTCCAAGGGAGACATACGTATCTTTTGAAGAAAAAAAAAGTTTTCCTTTGTCCCATAGGGGAATCTGGTTTTCAGGCAGAAAGTGCTCACATTTAGACACTTGCTTTTTTAATTTTTTTTTATTGATTTATTTGATAGGGACAAGTGTACACATTCAACATGTGAAACACCACAGTATTTATAGTCAAGGCTAATTTGCTAGCCCTAACCCTAACCCTAACACATTTTACATTATAAGAATCACATTATACAAAAGCATGAGTCCTTAACTCATTAATGGTCTCGCAAGTGGTTTATTATTAAAAAAAATTGCTTCAGTTTGTGTTTAAAACCAGCCCAGACAGCGTTTGGATTTAGCTGAGGGCTCAAAGAGTTCCAGAGCTTTGCCCCCTTGGACCGAGAAGACCGACTATCCGAATGTGTTTTTTTTAACTTATTTTTCCTCACTTTTTGCAGTGTAGTTCCTCAATGTTGCAGTACACATACACACATAAAGGTATTTGCAAGTATAATACTGGCTGCTTGTGTGTTGCCAAACTATGGGATCTTTAGGCCAAAGGCAATAACAAATGGGATAATACAGTATTTGCACCAAGCACCTAAAGAAAATAACATATTTACCGTTTATCCACTTTGCTTCTGGGTCATGGATTTGGAAACTTGGGTCAAAGAGGTCGTTGACGGTGAGCGGGACGACACACGGCTTCCCTCCATCATCTGAAGGACATCATATTCACAGTCAAATGAAAGGAAACCTAAAAGAGCGAAAGAGAAGTGGCGACCTCTGGAGAGAAGCACGATGGAGAGTCCGATGAAGGACAGAACCACGATGATCACCAGCAGAGAGATCCCGATGCCCTTCCAGTTCTTGTCACTGGCGATGGCGGCGATGTCCTGCAACAAAACAACAGTCATTTATGTCCTGCTCCAGTTTAACACTCGGACTCACAGAAATCTGAGACTACGAAAACTCCCAGAGCTGTCGTTTTGACTGCTCCCAATCAAACCAATGACATTTTCAGAAAGTCTCTGGTCTCTGCCCTCTGGTCTCTGCCCTCTGGTCTCTGCCCCCTGGTCTCTGGTCTCTACCCACTGGGGTCTCTACCCTCTGGGGTCTCTACCCTCTGGTCTCTGCCCTCTGGTCTCTGCCCTCTGGTCTCTGCCCTCTGGTCTCTGCCCTCTGGTCTCTGCCCTCTGGTCTCTGCCCTCTGGTCTCTGCCCTCTGGTCTCCGGTCTCTGGTCTCTGGTCTCTGGTCTCTCTACCCTCTGGTCTCTGCCCTCTGGTCTCTGGTCTCTGGTCTCTCTACCCTCTGGTCTCTGCCCTCTGGTCTCTGGTCTCTGGTCTCTCTACCCTCTGGTCTCTGCCCTCATGCCCTTTGGTCTCTGGTCTCTGGTCTCTGGTCTCTGCCCCCTGGTTTCTGGTCCCTACCCTCTGGTCTCTGGTCTCTGTCCACTGCTTCTGTCTCATTTTCCTTCATCTTCAGTCCTTTAATTTGTCCATTTCTGGGTCTGAGGCTTTAACCATGGAACTGCCTTCTGATCGGCAAAGCTTTTAACATACTCTGCATAAGTATTATTCTTTATAAACATGTGCTTTCATTCAGCCAATTAGTCCTCTCATCACTCATTCAGAGCTATATATTAAAAAAGAAAAAGAAAAATAACACTAAACAACAACCGTATGAGGGCTGCTGAGGACTTTCTGACAATTCTACAGTAAAAAATGATCACACAATAAATAACTAAAAAACCTCAAGGACACGATTTTTGTTGTCTTACCCGTTTACTATGCATTGGTTCCATCTGCAAGCTTGTGTATTTTGTTTTAGTATGTCACGGTAAGTGGGTTTCTGTCATTGTGTGTTGCTATGTGTGTTATGTTGTGTATTTTATGTTTTTTTATGTGCATATTGTGAGTGTATGTTTGGTGACTGTGTTGTATGAAATAAAAAAAGAACTCTAGGACACATCGGAATCATGATGTTGTATATTTTAAATCTCAATTCGATCCAAAAGCAATGCAGGTTTGTGTTTACACTTTTTCCTTCACAAAGATACTAATAATAATAACAAAAAAATCTATTATTGGTGCTGCAGTGGTTTGAATATGCGCTTCACAGCAACAAGTTCCTGGCTTCGACTCCGCCTCCAGGCCTTACTATGTGGAGTTTGCGTGCTCTTCCCATGTCTGCGTAGGTTTCCTCCAGGTGCTCCGGGTTTGCCCCATACCACTAAAAACACGTGCAATATTTCAAGCTGAATGAGCGAGTTTTTGTGATTGTGGGACGACGAATGTAAATCTGCTACGATCCAGAGATGTGTTCATTAAATGTCCCAAACAGATAAACGTACACGTACAGTATAAATAAAAAACAGAGTTGTCATCAAACCCACCAGTTCAAAGTCTTCCTCACGGGACTGATGCAGAATGCTAATAAACAAAAAGAGCCGGAAACACCTGTGGGAGCGAGAGGCTTGGCTTGGCTCCAGGATATTTATCTTTTGAATCTCGATGCCAATTAAAGCGGTTGGAAAGCTAACTGATCCATAAACAGCGAGTGCGTCTGCAGGAGCTGGAGGCGATGTAAGCCAGATAGGGTTATTTACCGCGGAGAGGCACGGGGGAGAGAATCAGGGAACAAAAGCGCCAGATATGACACAAAATGGGACGTAAACTGCGGCGTATCTGTGTGTACCGCTGCGTTGTCGAACAGAGAAATGTTTTATCGAGTCGCCCCAATGAACTTGTCCTTTTGGCATCAATTTGGGGATTCGTTGTTGTGTGCCGTTCTTCTGGGAGATGTTTTACATATTTGAATGCAGCGCCAAACTCTTTGTATTCGGGCCCGTTATCTTAAAAAGTGCACGTGTTTCGCCCACCTGCTCGTCACCGTGGGGTCTGCAGCCCGGAGTGTAATATTTCATCCGTTTTGCAAATAAGTCATGGAAAAAAGCTTGAGGAGACAAATAGCTGTGTGATAATTACCGTTGGAAATGATTGAGAGGCTCTGACTTTACCTGATAGAATAAACATGTTTTTATTGACAAAAATTGCTGTAAAATATTCTATGTATTTGTTTGTTTTAAAAGGGGGTCCTCAGAATGACAGATACATTCAGGCAGAAAAGTAAAGCCGGAAAAAAATAATAACACAAAAACAAAATATTCAAAAAAACCTTTGTGAATATTATTTCTTTAATGATTTACAGTGATTTCTTTCTGTGAGGACAAACAGTACATTTGACATTATAATACTGTTTTTTTTAGAGAACGGAAATGAGACAGAGATTTTTCTTTTAGCCTTTAACGTTTGACTTGGGTTAAGATTAGGAGATGCTTTATTGGTCACACGCCAGAGAAATTTCAGTGTTGCATCACAAGTAACAGAACAGTAGGAATGAGGAGCACGCAGCACAAGATAAAATAACAATAGCTCTATACTAAATAAAATAAAATCTCTAGCTGTGGAAGATTAATGCCTATAATTTAAACCATTTATTAACGCACAAAAACAATCTATTTGAAGTAAAACAACAACCGCAGCTTTGCAAAGAAACGATTCTTAATTATTGACCTGTTTTAAAGATTTCAATGAGATTCTGCCAGAAGTCTAGCTCGACCAATGCTATCTATGTATCTATCTAAATTCTCCAAGGTTCGAGGTTACGAGAGCTGAGGAGGAGGAGTCTCGAGCCTCGGTGTCGTTCCCTTCGCCTCAGAGCAGCACCGTGATGAAGCTTCACACAGTGGCAGCTGAGTCAAGTGCATCTGACAGAATAAAGGAGACAGATCTAAGTTTGGCTTCATGAATATCGACCCTGCTTAACCCAGACTCTGCTTCCCAACTAATCTATTCTCTCTGACAGTCGTACGATCCTGCATTTCAATATTTGGAGAATATTTACATGATGAATTGGGAGGTCGACGCTTTGTAATAAATATCCCAGAGGCGGAGAGAGCAGTTCATACATCAGCCAGATGGGGCAGACGCAGACGGGGCCACTTGACATTTGTGTCGGATTAAAGCAAGAGAAATGCTACTGTGAGTGTCCAGGACTTAGCACGTTAGTATTGTTCATTAATCAACTCCCAGAGACGAGTTGTACAGCTGGACTTTGGAACCACAACAGTCGACTCTCAGACAGACACTCTACATAAAAGTCACATGATGAAAGAATTTGAATGTTATTTCGATATGTGGAAAATGATGTAAGAACATGAACAATGTGTTTTCATAGAGATAAGTCAGGCCCAGTCTGATGTTAGTGGAGAGTTAATTACTTAATTTATTTTTAACAAGAAGTGTGTGTCGGTGTCTATGTGTGTGTGTGTATGTGTGTGTGTCGATGTATGTCGGCGTGTGTGTCGGTGTGTTTGAGCCGGGGTGTTTGGTTATGTAAGTAAGTAAGTAATGTTTATTTATATACCGCCTTTCACAGATAGAGTCACAAAGCGGTTTACAATTGTTATTTTTTGGGCATTTGTCTCTCACTCCACACAGAGTTGGGAGCCGGGTCGCCAGTACAGGAGGCGCATGCCAGAACTATTGTACATATTTTTAGTGGTAGGGGAAACCGGAGTACCCGGAGGAAACCTACGCAGACACGGGGAGAACATGCAAACTCCACTCAGAAAAGCCCTGGTCCGACCGGGATTCGAACCCAGAACCGTCTTGCTGAGAGGCGAGAGTGCTATACACTCAGCCACCGTGCCGCCTTATGTAGACTATTACAACGAACTCCCAAAATTCTGAAATCTCGGGAACTCCCGGAGCCGTCATTTTGACTACCCCCAAAATGACTGACTTTCTCCATTGTGAGATAATAAAGTACATCTCTGTCATTCACACCATTAGAGTTCACAGTGTTTTACTTTCAAACTGGTGAATAAAACTGAAATACAGCAAGAAAAAAAATGCTAACCGCTAGCAAGTAAACAATGGGTTTCTGCGGTAACTAGCACTCGTAAAAGATAATTTCATGAAAATAAAGACATAAAAATAAGTCAAAGTTGAAGAGCACAGATGTTCTGCAGATAAGATACAATTTCAAACAAAAGCCATCAAACTGACTGCTTATAGTTCTGGTGTTGACAAACGACCGGCGAAGAGGCGGTGGACAGGAACCAGTCTCGTGCTAAAGGTCGCTAACAGACAAACACGTCGTTACGATCGCAATCTGGTCACAACGAGAGACGGGCAACAAACGGTGAAGGAATGTGTGCTTCAGGAAGCTAAGACCGGGAGCTAAGACCGGGAGCTCCCGGGTTTGATACAAGTCAGAACAGGACCTTTCTGTGTAGAGTTTGCATATTCGTTCATACAAGTTTCCTCCAGGTGCTCCAATTTCCTATACCGCTAAAACCACATTAAATTCTTCAGCTACAGCCTTGACCAGACACAATACTTTTTTTATTTTACACAACCTCTCTAAATTATACATGTTTTACTGCAGACGCTAAAGACCCAGCCCTCTACCCTGGATCTACAGCCTCAGTCTTGGATCTACAGCCTCAGTCCTGGATCTTCAGCCTCAGTCCTGGATCTACAGCCTCAGTCTTGGATCTACAGCCTCAGTCCTGGATCTACAGCCTCAGTCCTGGATCTATAGCCTCAGTCCTGGATCTTCAGCCTCAGTCCTGGATCTACAGCCTCAGTCCAGGATCTACAGCCTCAGTCCTGGATCTACAGCCTCAGTCTTGGATCTACAGCCTCAGTCCTGGATCTACAGCCTCAGTCCTGGATCTACAGCCTCAGTCCTGGATCTATAGCCTCAGTCCTGGATCTACAGCCTCAGTCCTGGATCTATAGCCTCAGTCCTGGATCTACAGCCTCAGTCCTGGATCTACAGCCTCAGTCCTGGGTCTACAGCCTCAGTCCTGGATCTACAGCCTCAGTCCTGGGTCTACAGCCTCAGTCCTGGATCTACAGCCTCAGTCCTGGATCTATAGCCTCAATCCTGGATCTACAGCCTCAGTCCTGGATCTATAGCCTCGGTCCTGGATCTACAGCCTCAGTCCTGGATCTACAGCCTCAGTCCTGGATCTACAGCCTCAGTCCTGGATCTATAGCCTCAGTCCTGGATCTACAGCCTCAGTCCTGGATCTATAGCCTCAGTCCTGGATCTACAGCCTCAGTCCTGGATATACAACCTCAGTCCTGGGTCTACAGCCTCAGTCCTGGATCTACAGCCTCAGTCCTGGATCTACAGCCTCAGTCCTGGAACTACAGCCTCAGTCTTGGATCTACAGCCTCAGTCTTGGATCTACAGCCTCAGTCCTGGATCTATAGCCTCAGTCCTGGATCTACAGCCTCAGTCCTGGATCTATAGCCTCAGTCCTGGATCTACAGCCTCAGTCCTGGATCTACAGCCTCAGTCCTGGATCTACAGCCTCAGTCCTGGATCTACAGCCTCAGTCCTGGATCTACAGCATCAGTCTTGGATCTACAGCCTCAGTCTTGGATCTACAGCCTCAGTCCTGGATCTACAGCCTCAGTCCTGGATCTACAGCCTCAGTCTTGTATCTACAGCCTCAGTCCTGGATCTACAGCATCAGTCCTGGATCTACAGCCTCAGTCCTGGATCTACAGCCTCAGTCTTGGATCTACAGCCTCAGTCTTGGATATACAGCCTCAGTCCTGGATCTACAGCCTCAGTCCTGGATCTGCAGCCTCAGTCCTGGATCTACAGCATCAGTCCTGGATCTACAGCCTCAGTCTTTGATCTACAGCCTCAGTCTTGGATCTACAGCCTCAGTCCTGGATCTACAGCCTCAGTCTTGGATCTACAGCCTCAGTCCTGGATCTACAGCCTCAGTCCTGGATCTACAGCCTCAGTCCTGGATCTACAGCATCAGTCCTGGATCTACAGCCTCAGTCTTTGATCTACAGCCTCAGTCTTGGATCTACAGCCTCAGTCCTGGATCTACAGCCTCAGTCTTGGATCTACAGCCTCAGTCCTGGATCTACAGCCTCAGTCCTGGATCTACAGCCTCAATCCTGGATCTACAGCCTCAGTCCTCATTCTACAGCCTCAGTCTTGGATCTACAGCCTCAGTCTTGGATCTACAGCCTCAGTCCTGGATCTACAGCCTCAGTCCTGGATCTACAGCCTCAGTCTTGGATCTACAGCCTCAGTCCTGGATCTACAGCCTCAGTCCTGGATCTACAGCCTCAATCCTGGATCTACAGCCTCAGTCCTCATTCTACAGCCTCAGTCTTGGATCTACAGCCTCAGTCTTGGATCTACAGCCTCAGTCCTGGATCTACAGCCTCAGTCTTGGATCTACAGCCTCAGTCCTGGATCTACACAGCCTCAGTCCTGGATCTACAGCCTCAGTCCTCATTCTACAGCCTCAGTCTTGGATCTACAGCCTCAGTCTTGGATCTACAGCCTCAGTCCTGGATCTACAGCCTCAGTCCTGGATCTACAGCCTCAGTCCTCATTCTACAGCCTCAGTCTTGGATCTACAGCCTCAGTCTTGGATCTACAGCCTCAGTCCTGGATCTACAGCCTCAGTCCTGGATCTACAGCCTCAGTCCTATTTCCATCCCATTGTTTTTTATTATCATTTCAACATTACCTCCCCATCCTACCATCATTCCTATACTTCCTTGTTTCTCCCAGCCTCACATCCTTTACAGAAACGTGTGCTCAGGCCGTGGTGAATTAATGTGACAGATTATAACAAAGTGAGTTTCTTCCTCAGACAGTTCCTGCAGACTCATTACGAAGGTGAGAAAAACCAAATTGAGGTCAGGAGACAGCTAGTGATGTTATCTGACCCATCATCTCCTCCCAAACCCGCTTTTAATTAAACTCTGAAGTCTCCCACACACCTGCCTGAACCACGACCAACCCCCGCTAATGCACACGCACAAATACATTTATCACAACCACTGCAATTAGTGGAATTCAGGCTCTGGAAAAAAAACATTGGGAACGTTGGTGTTTGAGCAGAATATTTATTTCAAGTTTAGCAACAAAGTGATTTTGTTTTTAATTGGAAAAAAATATCGGAGACAACCCACTAAACATCCGACGTCCACTCAACCTCCAGATCACGTCAATATCGCGTCGGTCGGTCGTGACCTTTTATTTACGTCCAAACGACGTCTGTGCAAGGTGCGCATCTGGACGTAAAACAATGACCTCCCATATACGTGGATATGACGTTCAATCCCGACCTCCCTTAGACGTCGAAAACAGGTCATCGGCTGACCGACGCAGTACGTCTTGATCTAGCAATACAATATATAGGCTGTGAAGCGGTGCAAGTGTACCTGACGGTAGTGTAGTGGTTTAGCAAATGTGTGCAGTCTTGGTTACGTGAGTTCGAGCCCACGTGTGTGTATTATTATCTTTACATATTCGTTTTGATTTTTTTCTGTTTGGTTAAAGACTAATAAACACTCAACATAGGATTACGTAGTGGCTAATAATAAAACTTTTGAATGTATGCATTTGTTGTGCTAACAATCTCAAGTTTGCAAATAAGGGGTGAGCACTTGAGATTGTATGCAAATGCATGGATTCACAAGTTTTATTATTAGCCACTACATAATCTTATGTTGAGTGTTTATTCGTTTTTAACCAAACAGAAAAATTGTTCGCTAAAAAGTAAAAAGTCAAAAGTTTTCCGACGGGGATTTGAACCTGCGTCGTTGGGACTGAAGTCTCATTACGCAACCGCTACACCACGGCCAGGCATTTATACAGACTACTGTGACAAAATAATACATGACACCCTAAACAACCGACGCACACTTATGCGCCGCGCGAGTATAACGGCTTTACAGCCTGAAGGGCTCGACACACGGGAGGCGACAAATGAGAGCGATCAGCGAAACTCAACGCTGTCGCCCTGCTTTATTTAGCTACTTGGAATCACCCTCTCTAGTAAGTACACAGTCTGCACAGTTTTTAGATATAGATGTATCATTTCCACATTGAAAAGAGTTGGAGACAGAAAGTAAGTTGTTTTCTCACGTATACGTGGATTTTGTTAAGTATATTTTGTATATTATCTGTATTTTGAATTGCCAGTGCATGAATCTATTGAGAGTGAGGAGCTGACGTCATAGCACAGAGCCCCTCCCCGTCTCCGCCATGTTGGTAGGATCCCAGCGGCAAACACTTGTTGTTGTTAACTCGGTAGCAAAGGAGGTCGTCGCTATTTCTGTTTTACCATGCCTGGAGCTCATTGCTGTGTGAAAAACTGCTCCAGTACCTCACACAATAAGAAAGGAAAACGTAGGAACAACGGTTTACAATTTTTTAGGCTACCAAAATGGATACAACATCAGGGAGCGCAGGTGTCTGACCTGACGAAGAGACGCCGGATGGCTTTGTTGGCTGCAATAAGAAGAAAGGACCTTACTTTCGATCTCACCCCCAGTCGATGAGAGTGTGTTCTCTGCATTTTCACTCGGGTACGTCCTAAAATGTCTTTATGTTGTTTTTTTAAAGTTAAGAAGTGTAGGTTACCTAGCTGTTAATGTTGCAAACACTGAAGTGCATCTTAAGTTAGCTGCCTAGCTAACTATCTAACAAACTGTTGCCTCTATGAAAATGCTTAATGGCCAACCATTAATGTTAACTAAGAATATTTAAGTTTCTGCTCATTATCCTACCTTGTTGGTGGAATATGGGCACTCAAAGTGTGTTTGTCTCTGTCTCTTATGTTCTCTAAACCAGTGGTGCCCAAACTTTTTTTTTGTCTTGTGTTTCCACTACCCCCTGAGCCCTTTTATGAAACCATGAATAGCGTTACCTTCTTGTTTAATATTTCTTTAGATTCCAGATTGTTTAATAATTTTATTAATCTGATGTAAGTAAACCATTATATGAGATTGCTAAAAATAGTTGAGATTCTGTTCATGACATTATGCTACCTTGTTGCCAGTTTAAAGCATTGACTACATACATTATTCTGTTCTAGGTAAACCATCATATGAGATGTTGGAGAATCACCCTGACTGGACACCATCCTTGCGGTTAGGCCACAATAATGTTAAAGAAACAGATGGAGCGCGATATCAGCGGCAAGTAAAGCGCAGTACCCAGCATCTGGAGTAGAGCCTGCACGGGCCTATTATCTGGGCCCGAGCCCGGCCCTGGCCCGAGGGGGTGGCGCCCCGGCCCGGCCCGATATGGTTTCTCAATTTTCAGGCCCGAAACCCGCATCAAGCCCGCCTTTTTTTTTTTTAACCTCCCATAACAATGTTTTAGCGTAGTATATAGTGCCGCGCACTGATATGAACGCAGACTTAGCTAGAGGGCGGAGTTATACATGGTAGTGATGTGTTGCAATGAGTTCTGTGTGTGCGGAGGGGTGCGGAGTGAACGGCCGCATCTGTATGATGCCCAGATGCTGCAACACACCTGTAAGTAACGCTATGTGCCGTCAATGACAACACTACACAGAACAACAAACACTACAGCGTGATAGAACGCTATATTCAGTGGGTGCGTTCGTAAATCTATTCTGCCGCTCTGAAAATGAAGAGCCTGTGTCCGAGGTCATTATGCGGTCATCGGCCCGAAGCCCGGCCCTCGGGCTGTCGGGCCGTCGGGGCCCTCGGGCCAAGGGCTCAAGTGCAGGGCTCTAATCTGGAGCAGTCATCACTCCCAGCCCAAGCCCAGCAGCCTCCATCGCCAGCCCAAGCCCACCAGCCTCCATCACCAGCCCAAGCCCAGCAGCCTCCATCGCCAGCCCAAGCCCAGCAGCCTCCATCACCAGCCCAAGCCCAGCAGCCTCCATCGCCAGCCCAAGCCCAGCAGCCTCCATCACCAGCCCAAGCCCAGCAGCCTCCATCGCCAGCCCAAGCCCAGCAGCCTCCATCACCAGCCCAAGCCCAGCAGCCTCCATCGCCAGCCCAAGCCCAGCAGCCCCCATCGCCGGCCCAGCAGCTGCCTCAAGGAAGGATGAGGAAGCTCTCACCCTTCCAGCTTGTCCTATTGACTGTAATGCGCCTCAGATTAGACCTTCCATCTCAGAATTCACGTTGAGAGGGTGATTGGTGTTGTGCGCAACAAATTCAAATTCTTACACTCAACTGTACCTGTGCATATGCTTCTCAAATGTGAGGGTGAAAACCTAATGCCTTTAGATAAGATTGTCACTGTTTGCTGTGCCTTAACGAACATGTGCAAAAGTGTTGTTTGAGTGCCTTGTTCATAACTTATGAACCAACCAGAACCCCTCATGTCATCTGGATCCGAGTCCAGAGTCAGAACCAGACACGGAGAAGCTGCATTCAGCTTCTATGCACCACATGTCTGGAACAAACTCCCAGAAAGCCTCAGATCAGCTGAAACACTCAGTTTGTTTAAATCCAGGTTAAAGACCCACCTGTTCTCAGCTGCTTTTGAATATTTTTTATTCTAATGTACAAATCTGCACGGCTTCTTTTAAGCTGGAATTACTTATCTGTTATCTTTTTCCTATTATTTTTTGTTTTTAAGTTAAAGTTTAAAATATGATATTGTTTTTCATATTTCAAACTATTTTTAACACATTAGAATTCTTAGGTTAGACTGTCCAACAAACTATGTGTTAAAAAAGGTTAAGATTCTTGAGTTTTAAAATAATAATTCAATTCTAAAATGTAAAGTTACTGTATATTTCACAATGGTTTATAAACTGCAAAAAGACAACAGTACTTAGTAAACTAAGTTTAAAAACAGGGAGATCAGCTTTAATATTTGGGACACTCCCATCCTTTAGACACCTGTGATGTCATCAGTTGGAGTTGAGTTCAGGTGTGGGACCATGTGGGACCATAGGAGCACACAGATGTTACCTGCTGCAGAAAGAGAGTTTAATGTTCATGTATTGCTTTGTTTAATAAATGGATTTAATGTCTTCCCAGGTCTTCAATGTCAGAGACTTTCACTTCTTCTCACTGTGGCTGTTTAAATGAGCCACTACAGTCGTTATTTTTGTTATTGTTAGCTGCAAATATTAAACATCCATTCATCTGCTGGTAGCAAGCTAACTAGCGCTTGCAACTCTATTCAATTTCTTACTTTTTCTTATAAACATTAAAACCAGCCATATGATAATTAAAATACATTTACCTTTGCTAATGCAGTCAATTTTTTGTGAAATCCATAGAGTATAATTTCATGATTGTTGCAATAACTAATGTTCTATGTGTATTCCTAATGTGTCATGTGTGTTTGAGTCTTACAGGTGTCAGACTGTGTTGAAGGTGTTCAAAGGTAAGAATCACACTCTCACACATTGATTGTTCTTCTGTATTATTATGTTGTTTTTAGAATAAACCATTATTTGGTGTATTCTCTTTGAAAACATCAATCTTTTTCTCAGATTGTTCAGCAACTCACTCATGATGAGGGAAAAGAGCAACAAGGGGAAAATGCCCCCTCGGAAATGCGACATGTGTAGAGTAATACAGGGTAAGTAGCTTTCAGGGCTCATTTGTCCATGTGCAAAACAAATGCACATTTGCAATTGTTTTTTACATGGAATTACTCCAATGACCAAAGCCTTATCCCAAGTTTCTCAGACTGAGTGTCTTCCAGTGTCTCGAGCTAGTGCAGTGCCAAGGTTTGTATCACATGGTGATGGATCGAGTGGTTTGAGGCATTAATAGAAAGTTATGTGTTGTTATATCACTTTGCCACATTATGTTGAAACTAAACATGTTCCACATTTCCAGGTGCTGTGCTTGGACCTTGTGATGAGAGACTGAAGACCAAGAGAGGACACATGTTGGAACATCAACATTCAATAAATGCATTCTTCTGCCTTTCAGATTGTGTTTTTACATCTGAGGAACCTAGAGTGTAGCTTGTGCCTGTTTTAATACTGATCCAAACATAGGTGCTACAATCATGTTTTTTTACTTTGGCATGAACTGTTCAGTACAGTAGTGTTCATAACACTGTGCCCTGTGTGGTTTAACTTGTACTTTGATGTAGAGAAACATGATTTTTAATGCAGCTCCATTTGCAATAATGACTGATATCCTTCTACTACAGTTGTTCTAATGATTTTTGAATGCTGTGTTTATCGTTTATTGCCCAGAGTCAGAACTAAACATGATATAGCTGCATTTCAGATTCACAAGGCTAAAATCTGGAACGGTCTTCCTGGAAATGTGAGACAGGCTTCTTCTTTGACAATGTTAAACTCCAGGTTTAAAACACTTCTGTTTCTGCTTCAACTGAGAGATTTTTTGAGAGATTTTATTTGTATCTTTTTAATTTACTGTCAATATTTATAATTGTAATGCCTTGTTTGATTGTTTCTATCTTTTGTTCAGTGCTTTGAGTTTCCTTTTGTTTTGACTGTGCTATACAAATAAACTTGCCTTGCCTATTGCAAAAAGTATGTCTCGACTATTAAGTCATTCTACAGAGGTCAATAGGACTGTAAATGGACGTCATATAAACGTCAATATTTTGGTCATATAAGACGTCGAGAGGACGTCGGACCCGACTGGTTCTGTACCACATTACAACCTTGAATGAACGTCCAGATGACGTTGGAATTACGTTGTTTTGACATCTGCTTGCTTAGTGGGAACGACTGAAAACGAACGTCATATAAACGTCAATATTTTGGTCATATAAGACGTCGAGAGGACGTCGGACCCGACCGGTTCTGTACCACATTGCAACCTTGAATGAACGTCCAGATGACGTTGGAATTTCGTTGTTTTGACATCTGCTTGCTTAGTGGGAACGACTGAAAACGAACGTCATATAAACGTCAATATTTTGGTCATATGAGACGTTGATAGGACGTCAGACCCGACCGGTTCCGTACCACATTCAAACCTTGAATTGACGTGCCATCAACGTAACATTTGGAGGTTGAGGTGACGTCGGGAAATGACGTCGAGAAAACTTTCATTCTGCACCCACCAGTGACCTATATTCTACGTCGGACAACGACGTTCAAATTACGTTGATTCAACGTCGGCTTGCTTAGTGGGAAAAGTGTTAAGTTTAGTAATGGCGAGTGGTGAAAGTTTGGTGAAAGCTTTTTAAACAAACTTATAATGTTGGTTGAATATTTCCATGTAGAAGATAATTGACCATTTTAATTTTGAAGCATATTTATAATTGGTTTCTCTTCTCATTTAGCCGCTCTTTAAGGTGGTGCCATAACTTTGGAGCCACAAAAAAATAACTATGTAATAAAATCCAATGTGCGTGTGAGTCTTGGCCTCGGTCATATCTTTAGATCAACGGAAAAGTTTGAAAAGTTGGGTTTTAGAGTATTTCCTTGCCGATGCATTAGGCTCTGTCAGACTGTTTTTGTCTAACAAGAAGGACTGTGGTGATATTCAGGACAATCTACTGCATTTATGGACATGTATCAATATTCATGGACATTGGTCTCTCCCTATGGTCCAATACCATGTCTTGCTCTGTGCTTGAACTGTTTGATTCTCTGATCTGTGTTGGAGATTTTGATGGTTTTGTTAAAGAATGAAATAAATGTAATATATTCTAAAAGGACCACCACTATCTCAGCCAAATCAGCTTACAACACTCTTTCAACAAGCAAAATGCATTATGTATGAAATAAAAACATACTATTTGAGGATGCTTCATGCCTGGGAGTCGCCTCAGTCCTGGATCTACAGCATCAGTCCTGGATCTACAGACTCAGACCTGGATCTACAGACTCAGACCTGGATCTACAGTATCAGTCCTGGATCTACAGCCTCAGTCCTGGATCTACAGCCTCAGTCCTGGATCTACAGCCTCAGTCCTGGATCTACAGCATCAGTCCTGGATCTACAACCTCAGTCCTGGATCTACAGCATCAGTCCTGGATCTACAGCCTCAGTCCTGGATCTACAGACTCAGTCCTGGATCTACAGCCTCAGTCCTGGATCTACAGCATCAGTCCTGGATCTACAGCCTCAGTCCTGGATCTACAGCATCAGTCCTGGATCTACAGCCTCAGTCCTGGATCTACAGACTCAGTCCTGGATCTACAGCCTCAGTCTTGGATCTACAGCCTCAGTCCTGGATCTACAGCCTCAGTCCTGGATCTATAGCCTCAGTCCTGGATCTTCAGCCTCAGTCCTGGATCTACAGCCTCAGTCCTGGATCTACAGCCTCAGTCCTGGATCTACAGCCTCAGTCCTGGATCTACAGACTCAGTCCTGGATCTACAGCCTCAGACCTGGATCTACAGCCTCAGTCCTGGATCTACAGACTCAGTCCTGGATCTAAAGCCTCAGTCCTGGATCTCACTTTTCCCTCACTAGCTCATTCTTTTCCAAATCCTGTGTTGGCTTCATTTGAACTGTACATTACAGTTTTTCTCAGTCGCTTTGGTGCATTTTTCACCCTAACCTTAACTGTCCTCATTTCATCACATACAAAATAGTTGAACTAGTTCTCAAAATCATAACTGTCAAGCTAATTTCAAACATTTGTTCATCTTTTTTTCCTGTAAATCTTTCCTAAATTGAACAATTTCTCTCAGGTGAATTTCAGCTTTCACTCATCCGGTATGCTTTATTGTTTATTTTTGTCACAGTTCTACCATAATGATATTTCTTGTATGTTTGTTTTATGTATATACGACATATACAGTATATGTGCCTGCAATTCTACAGCATTGTGCAACAAAAATACAAAGAGCATATGCAGTACACATACAGTACATACATACATAGATACACACATACACACATACACACAGTGCTCTACATACATAGATACACACATACACACATACATACAGTACATACATACATAGATACACACATACATACATACATACACATATACATATATGTTACAGAATGTCAGTTACGTCTCTAAATACAGTCTTTGTGTAACTTCACTGTAGTTTTTACTGTAAATGGCCGTATAGGTCGTATATAGTGTGCTCATAGTCGTGGTCAAGTGTTACCGAGATCTGACTTTTTTACACTGAAAACACAGAGAGTAAACTTTCACAATGAAAACATGACTAAGTCATTTGACTGTGATGTTCATACTCAATGTTGTTAGGACATATTATTTTGACGACACAGGCAGTTTCATTGACGTTTGAACTTGCTTTTGAGGACATAACTATTCATTTTGAGAAAGTGACGCACTTTTGCAGGTTATCCACGAGGTTCTGCAGTTTGCACTAATTGTTCTGAGAAATGCACCAACAGTTGTGCAAATGTGAAGAATGATGTAAAAAATGCACCAAAGCGACCGAGAAAAACTGTAAAACGAATGAACCAGATGTACATAAAGGTGAGTAATTGCACTTCCAAAAGAGAGTTCCAGAATTATGGCCAGATTTGTTCAAAGCAGGTTCAAACATGGACACTAACCTTTGGCTGTAGGAACATTCATTTTCTCAACAGGCAAAAATAAGCTAGTAATGATAGGAAAAAGAACATCCCGCCCCCACTCCACAGCAGCTCTTCTCCTTATGCAGCGATAAAGGTCAGCATTCAAGTAGCTCATGTCGCTAATAGCAACTTCATACCCCTTATTACAGCCCTATTATCCGGCCTTTGTGCGGCTGCTGCTATTTCTCCAGATGCCACGAGGTCCGGTCTGAATCCTCATCACCGGCGAGACTCCCCGGCCGACACAGCTCAAAATGTCACACCATTCATCAACTTCCACAACAACGTCACGACACATAGACCTTGAAAAACGCACGCACAAAGACACATCTGCCATATGTGGCCTTTTCTGTCTCCGTGTGAGTGCCGGGCAAACAATGGTCCAATCCCCCGGGCGCTTGATTGAGTTGTCAGAATGTAATTACAGTTGCGACAAGTTTGAAAAGCGGCTAAACAGAATTGTATGGATAATGGAAATGTGCTTGTTTAGATTGTTGAATGGAGGATGCTTCAGGAAGAAGTCGTTTTGTGCAATGATTCGAGGCAAACTAGCGCCTTTTGTGTGATTTATGTTTAAGTAATGCAAGACATACTGAACATAATAATTGGACAAAAGCATCATTTATGGAATAGAAGCAGTTAGCAAACCTGGGAGGAGGTCTGCTAGGTTCTTCTGCCCAGACAAAGACAGATCACAGCTTTTAACAAGGAGAGAGGAGTGAGAGTTTGTAGAGGGGAGGTGAGAGACAGGGGATGACAGTGGACAGAGGGGAGATAGATATGAGGGTAGAAGAAAGAGTAGACAGGAGAGATGAGAGAGGGGAGATGACACAGGAGTGAGAGTTTGGAGAGGGGAGAGGAGAGAGACATCATACCATACACAATAATTGTATTAAATGGTCATTCAAGTGACAGAAGCTGTTAGCAAACTTGAGAGAAGGTATGCTAAGTTCTTTTGCCCAGAAAAATGTGAGAGGAGGGAGAGGTTGGAAAGGGGAGACGACAAAGGAGAGGGGAAAGGAGAGATTAATGAGAGCTACTCTATTATCTATCAATCTCTATCTATCCTCCCCTCTAGGAACATAAAGGAGAGCTGAGAGAGGGGATATGAGAGAGGTGTGAGAGTTTGGAGACCGGGGAGAGGAGAGAAGGGAGAGGAGAGGGGTACAGAGCTAAGTGAGGAGCTAGAAGTATGGGACTGAGGAGAGAGGAGAGGGGACAGGTGAGAGGAGAGAGGAGAAGGGAGAGGAGTAGGGAGCTAGGTGAGAAAGTGGACGACAGAGCAGAGAGGGGAGAGGAGAGGACAGGAGAGAAGAGAGAGGAGTGGGGTTGGGAGCTAGGGGAGAAAGTAGAGGACGGAGGGGAGAGGAGAGGAGGGAGAGTTAGAGTGGTACGAAGGGAAGTTTGTACGGATCAACGGCATCACAATTTGGGGACACCAGTTTACTGGGTGATATTAGTGGACAATTCTTCCGACAAAACAGCTCATTAAATCAGTGTAATTGTATGAATGATAGAGCTGATCTGATCCGATACATTCCCCTGGGAGTGCATCCCTCGGTGCATGGCATGGCTGGCTCCACATTAGCCTAACAAGCCCGAAAAGTCACCGCCTGTTTTAGATGAGAAGTTAGTCTGGGCACGAAGCCAAGGGTACATTTTAAATGGGAGGGTGTAACAAGCTCAGGTCGAGAGGAAGTAGCCAATCAGCAAACAGGAGACATGAAGCTAAAGGGGAGGTTCAGCCTGGAAGACAGAAGAACTCCCCCTGTTGCTGCACGCCAACTGCATCAGCCAATTGCTCTCCTCCAATCCTCACCTTGCAGCAATCAAAAATTTACCTGCATCAAGCCTCATCTCGTACAGGAAGCTTTCATTCATGCAGCAACTCTCCTCCTCCCCATCACCACCTCATCGGCTGGACCTGCTCTCCACCCTTCTCTTAGCTTCCACTTCCAGGGTCAAGGCCGCAGGGGGATTTCATGTTATAATCCCTATTTAAATTTCCCTTTCTCCAATCACCATGCTGTTCCCTAACGACAAGTATGTGGCCACAGCTGCAGGTGAAAGCGAGAGCCTGTCAGACCTCTGAAGCTAGGCAGGGCAGGGCCTGGTTAGTACTGTGATGGTAGACCTCTGGATCAGAAGGTGCTACAGTGGGGCGATGCAGCTGTAAAGTGCCAAACTGTACAGCCGTAATCACTACAGTATGCAATAACTGTAGTCTTGCAAACTTGGTCTTCAGACCTTCTCTCGAGCTTTGAATGACTGGCTCTTGCAACATCAGTCTTGCACGCAGAAGCGGCACCAGACGGCCATCAGATGATACCGTCGTTGGTATCAGTTACTGTACCGTTGGCTATAATGGCCATCGAATGATACCCTCATTGGTACATCTCATAATAATAATAACAATGATAATGGCTATTATTTGTTTGAAAATTGTGTCATACATTACATATCGCTGCTAACTGTAACTCAGTATTGCACCTTATTGAAATGTATGATTATATGTATCTTGGTAACTTGCACTTTTATTTCAATGTTTTTTAGTAACCTGCACTTTTAATTTGAACTGCATATTATTAGGCAAGTTATATGATTGTATTGTCAAGGACTACAGGTGGAAAGTAGCATGATGCTAAATCTGGTACAGCTATCTTTTTAATTCAAGTGCACATTGTCTTTATTAAGTCAAACTTCAGAGTTGTGTGTGTTACTTCATGTAGTCACAGACTAATGGCCAACCAATACAATTCTAATAAAAGCCCTGTCTTGTATCATGCTAACTGCATAAAAACACAACACTAAGAGTGAGAAAGGACTCCTGCTTGAGTGTGCCCACCATCCAGTACCACTCCTCTTTCAATGCATGTATTAGGACAAAAGGAAATATAAGCCAAGCTAGTTTAGTTTTATATAACACAGTTTTTGTGGGTGCCAAAAATATAAAACAATCCTAGCCCTTATTGATTGTTATCAGAAAAAAATATTTTCTAATTAAAAATAGGATTTTAATAAAGTCTGTATTGGAAGACACATTTTCATTACTTATTAATGGCAGAACAAAATGGCGGCCGTTTTAGAAGTCTTAAAACAGTCTCAGTATTTGTTTTCTCAACTTGAGACTTCACACATATTTGTGGCTTTTCAAAGGGTTTTCCCTGAAAATACAGCATATTTTTGGGAAGGCATTGGACGTATTGTAGTTTGAAGTTTCCTGATGTGGCTTTGGTCTTGAAAAGCTAATGGACTATAGGCAGCAGCAGGACTCACTGTTACCATGAAGCAATTTAGAGAGCTAGAGAGTTTGTCAAAGAACCGCTTCCATTCCTTTCAGACGACGGCAGGTGGCACATGAGAGGAATGTGTTTCATCTTCCCTCAGATCAAAACAGGACCAGCAGAGATTATGTAATGTTTATGATTCTGTCGACTGTGAGTTTAGGAACGTTCCACAGATGTTTTTATTGTGCACATCCCAGACAAATGTATATTTCAACAGACAGAGAGTGAGATGGGAAGAAAGAGAGGAAATTCGAGGCACTACTGACAGAAAATAAAAATCCCTTGATGAATAGGGTTTTGGGCGACGTGTTGTTCCACAAAGTGCCTTCTCCAGGGCACGATGATAATACGGTGGTTTTAGAAATGTTTCAACATGGTGTGACACCATTGCATGATGAATCAAAAGACAAAACAATTCAATTTAAATTGTTCACACACACAAATTGGTGGAAAGATTTATATTTGCCAATGGAGAAAAGTGTTGCAAAGCATGATTCAAAAACTCTATTGTCTCACAATAGACAAAGTGTTACAAAAGCTGTTTGTATTAGATTTATTGGAGGATTTACTACTTCCGGGTGGATCATTAAGACTATCGGCCCTCCCAATAGATAGATAGATAGATAGATAGATAGATAGATAGATAGAGCGTTTTTCAACAAGTTAGCCTTCTTCCAATGGATCTTCGCCTGATCCGCTTTTTTCAGACCATGAATCCTCTCTGCTCTGGTCTGGACCAGTGTAACACCATGAACACCGTCCTGCGGTTCTTTCCTAGAAGTTGGGAAAATCCTCCGATATACCATAAACAGATATTTTAAAGATGTTTTAGCCGAATGATATATCTCTTTTATAACTAAATATTTTTTTTTAAAATAGGACTAGCTAAACAAGGAATATCATCAGTTGACCTAGAAATGAATAAAGTAGAAGACAAAAGATAGATTCAAACAACAAGGAGTAAAGGCAACTCAATTGTGTAAAATACTAAATAAAAATGAAAAGAAAGAAACCTGTCTGAGTATTGTTCATTTGCAACACATAATTCAAACACACATCATTGTTATTCGTCACTTTTCCAGTCAGATTGCAGCAGTCTGGACCCAACAGGTGTGAGGCTATTGGATGCGATCAGAGCGGAGGTGACAGTGTGTGTGTGTGTGTGTGTGTTCCATCCGGTACTTTCCATTACCACGGCAATGCCAACACAGCACGCTCATAATTCATCTTCATCGAGCCTCTGTGCTGAAAGCTGACAAGCCAAATGAGCAGAGGCTGAACATGTGAGAGTCGGGGCCGCAGCAGGATCCCACAAACACAGACACGGCTACACTACAGCGAGAGCATTTGTTGTGGTATGGCGTCTGTCGTCTGCAGTTAACAAGGCAGTTATACTGTGTTGGTTTGGTCATACTTGTCACATATGGTGTATAATAAACAGTTACTTGTAAAGAAGTTATAGAAACTTGGATTTCAACAGTTTCAGGAGGACTGACTTAGGCCCTGTTTAGACAGAGACTCTTCGATGCAATGTGCAAAAACTACCAGGCTCCTTGCTCAAGTGCACAGCATTTAGACCAAGACAGAAAACGATGTAGTTCTAGGTTGCAGTCAGCAGGGGGCAGTGGAACAACACGATACACACGGCCCCCGGCAGAAGAACCACTTCCACAACAACATCCTCCTCAGGCCGCCGCAAAGATGGGAAAGAACCAACATCATTTTGAAGCTTAAGCGTAAATTCAGACTGGGAAGACCTCATGCTGCAGCTCTCACCCATCCAGGGCCAGCCTTGAGCCTCAGCCAATCACACAGCTCTGCCAGCCCCCCTTGCCAACCTACTGACAGCAAAGAGGGGCAGTTTAAAAGCAGCCACTTACTACTAACCAGCGCATCCTGAAGCTCTTGACACCCACCGCCTCCTCAAGCTCCTGCTCTGGCTCCTGCTCTGGCTCCTGCTCTGGCTCCTGCTCTGGCTCCTGCTCTGGCTCCTGCTCTGGCTCCTGCTCCGGCTATGCCC